GCCCTTCCGCAGCCCGCCGGTGCCCTGGACGCGACGCCCCCAGACCCTGCTTCCTGTCCCACACGGCGCCCGCCACGCAGCTCCCCGCCCGCGTCCGCCTCGGGCCTCACCATGGCCGCCGCTCTGCTTCCGGGACGCGGGTCCCAAACCCTGGCCCCACGGCTGGGCTCAAGGGCGGCCAGCGGGTCAGAGGTCAAGGGAGGCGCAGAGCGCGTGCGCTCGGCCGTATCGGGCATGCGCGTGGCCCGCCCTCGGGGGCGGGGTTCTTAGCGGTGACGTCATGCGCGGGGCGGTCCCGCGGGCGGAAGCGACCTGTGGGCGGTTGACCGGGTCTCCAGGCCACTGGCCCGCCTCGCGGATACCTGAGGGACTCACTCCCTCCGCCTCCAAGTCTCTGCTAGATGTCACCTCAATGACCGCCCCCCATTCACTAGTGCTGCAGATGACCCTTCGTTCTTTTTTCCTAAGTTCTTGCCATAGGGTGCCTGTGCTCACAGGAGCGAGGCAGACAGGGAAACAGGAATCACATCTCTCCCCCGGGGTGATGGCCACCACCACAATTCCTTCTCCATTCTCCTTTCAGGATTTTGGACCCATACGCACTTGTGTCCGGCACAGTTTCCAAGCTTCTGGGTCCAGGACTCCAACTGCAGTGGGCCTTGTGGAAGTCCGACACCACCACCACCACGCCGTCCTTTTTTCAAAGCTTTTTTTCTTTTTTTTTTTTGAGAGTTTTTCGCTATAGGGCGCGTGCGCTCGCCAGACAGAGACATAGAGACAGAAAGCGAGAAATCACCCCCCCAGGGGGGATGGTCACGCTGCAATCCCTTCTTCTCCATTCTCCTCTCGGGATCTTGGGCATGCACGCACACGCGCCCGGCGTGACGCGAACCACGGTCGACTACATGGGAGTCCAGTGACATAGCCATTACGCTAACCGCTGGTTCCCAAAGCTTTTATCACTGTGTACCACGTTGTAGAATTCCTTTATGTTTATCCTTCATAACCTGCCCCTCCACTGCAGTGTGAATTTCCAGTGAGCAGGACTTGTTTCCTCCCCTGGTGGATACCAAGCACTTGGAGATGTGACACGTGTCAGGGATCGAGGAGCGAGGGCCAGCTGCCTGGCACCATGCTCTGGACCACTGCCTTCCGTCCTTCCCTCCCACTCTCCAGCTGCCCTTCCCTGCCTTTGTCTCAGCTGTTCATCTTAGTATACTGGCTGGGGTCTTAACTCTTGGCTTAAATGTCACTTTCTCAAACCCCTAGCCTCCCCTGCCCCTACCCCTGCATCCATCTATCCAACTCGCTTCCTTTCACTTTTTTTTTTTTTTGAGAGGTTTTTGCTATAGGGTGCGTGTGCTCACCAGAAAGACAGACAGACACAGCGAGAAATCATCCCCCCGGGGGGATGGCCTAGCCGCAATCCCTTCTCCATTCTCTTGGGATCTTGGGCATGCACACACACGCACCCCGTCTGAGTTTAAGTCACCAGGTCCAGGATTTGAACCACTGTTAGCTACATGAGAGTCCAGCGAGGTAGCCATTACACCATTTGCTGGTCCCTAAATTTTTAAAGAATTATTTTATTGGGACCAGCAGTTAGCATAATGACTATGTTGCTGGACTCCCATGTAGTCGACCATGGTTCGAGTCCCAGACCCGGTGGCTTAAAACTCATGCTGGGTGCATGTGCGTGAGTGCCCAAGATTCCAAGAGGAGAATGGAGAAGGGATTGCGGCATGGCAATCCCCCCGGGCGGTGATTTCTCACTTTCTTTCTCTCTGCCTGGCAAGTGTACGTGCCCTATAGCAAAAACCTCTTAAAAAAAGAATTATTTTATTTGACTTTATTCATTATTTAACTGGATCAGAGGAACAGAGTGAGAGAAAGCAAGAAAGCAAGCCTTCAGGTCCAGAATTGGAACCATGGTTGGCCATATGGGAGTCCAGCGCCCTTAATCACACCAGCACCTGCTGACCCGTTCATAATTTCTAATCTAGGTCATGCTGGTTGGTCATCGGCTGGGTCCATTGCTCTCTCACTGGCTATTTCACATGTGACGAGGCCCACTGATTTCTCTCACTGGCTATATTAACGTGACTTAATCAGCGAGGCACCCCTCACTCTCTCCTGCTCACATTACCTTGACCTGCCCTGATGGGTTTTTCTATCTAGCCACATGGGAACACGCCAGCCCCTTTACCTGCTTTCATTTGCTAGCTTTCTCCTGCCTCGTAATCCTCCTGAGAGGCACGAGCCCCATAATCTTTGTGGGGAGCTGCAAGTGGGTGTGTGGCTTCTGCAACTGCTTTGTGCAGGAAAGGGGTCGTGGAACTCCCGCCCTATCTGATCCAGCTGGGACAGGTCGTTGAGACAGTACCAGGTGTGTCGTTGGTGCTGGGTGACTCACACCAGGATTCAGTGGCGGTCCCAAGGGGTTGATAGTCCTACTGTACAGTCATTTGCCATTTCACAGCTTAGTTCCTTCCAGTCTTCTGACACGGGCACAGACGTCTTCATGATGGGACTGGAGTAACCTAAAGAGGTAGACTCCTGGCTGGCCCGTCGAAATGTATGTTGTGGGTGGCTTCTGCGATGGTACCCAGGTTCTTGGTGCTTCAGACAAAGAGTTGAGTGAAACAAGCGAACAGTGTAAGGAAAAGGTGGCTTTTTTTTTTTTTGGAGAGATTTTCACTGTAGGGCGCGTGCGCTCGCCAGACAGACAGAGAAAGACATAGAGACAGAAAGCGAGAAATCACCCCCCAGGGGGGATGGTCACGCCACAATCCCTTCTCCTCCATTCTCCTCTCGGGATCCTGGGCACGCACGCACACGTGCCTGGCGTGAGTTTTAAGCCACCGGGTCCGGGACACGAACCGCGGTCGACTACGTGGGAGTCCAGCGACATAGCCATTACGCTAACTGCTGGTTCCCAGGAAAAGGTGGCTTTTTAAGTAAAAGTGAAAGTGCACTCCCGAGAGGCAGGAGCAGGCCTGAGCAGAGAAGAGTGGCTCAAATGCCCTGGCAGCTGGTGTGTTTTCCAAGCGCCGGGTCTCAGACTCACACTGCAGTTGGCCACGTGGCATCCAGCACCTTAAGCATGTCACCTGCTGGCCCCATTCTTTTTTTATTTGCCAGCAGGTGCACTTGCCAAAGAGACAGAGAGAGAAAGAGGCACCCAATGGGGTGTGGTCACACAGCAATCCCTTCTCCCCTCTCTCCATCCTGCTGGATTTGGGGCACACATGTACATGTACCCAGTGTGTTTCCTCAGGCTACTGGGTCTTAGATTCAAACTGTGCTCAGCCATGTGACCACGTCTGCTCTGGCTCCCTTACCCACTAGGCCATGGGGCCAGCCCCATACCTCCATTTAGAAACAGGGTCTGGCTATGTCACCCAGGCTAGTCTTGAACTCGAGATCCTCCCACCTCAGCCTCCTGAGTGGCTGGGATTACAGATGCTTGCCACTGTGCCTAGTTTTGTGCCTGTGTTTTGACTGTGACCTGTCATGTGAAGTCAGGTGTAGGATTCTCCACTTGTGGCATGGTATGGGTGCTCAGAAAGTCTCAGATTTCGGAGTATTTCAGATTTTCCAACTACGTACACTCAACTTGTGATAAGCTTAAGTTCCTTGGAAGATCCCGTCTTTCTCGATGCCCGAGGCACTGCTGGACCCGCGTGGGAACGCACGAACTCCCAGCAACGTACAGCTGAAGAGGCCTTCGGAACAAAGCAGGGCTGGGGCCAAAGGAGCCTGGGGCGCCACTCTCACTCGTGTACCCCTTCTTTCCAGCCAGCCCAGAGACCACAGCAGCACAAGAGGGAGCCAGTTTAGAAAAGTTTAATTGCTGAGAACACCCAAGGCAAGTGCAGGCAGTCCCCACGGGGCTCACAGCCCCGTAATCGGTCCTACAGCTCTGTGATGCCCCTTTCTCCTGGCTGGGAGCCGGGAGCCGGGAGCCGGCAACTGGCCCCAGGACCCTGAGCCTGATGATGCTCCCAGCAGCTTGGCTGGGGGCCGGCCCTCAAGGTCCCGGGCCTGAACTGGGGCAGCAGGCAAGATGGGGCAGTGTGTAGTAACTGAACTGAACGAAGCCAGTCCAGGCTGGGACCAGCCCAGAGCAGGGAAGAAAAGAAGGGAGATAGGCCCAGGGCCTGCCCAGGGACATGCTATGGACGCCTCACCCACCCCTGCAGCCCTGGCTCCACATGCGAGCAGGTAGCTGAGCAAAAGCGGCCAGCCCCAGAGAAAGCAAAGGTGCAGAGTCCACGACAGTGCCCGAGGCCCACAGGAAGCCGGGGCTGCTGGCGTGAGGTCCCAGGGCTGGAGAGGCATTCTGCAGTCTGAGGAGTACAGGGACACCAGGTAGCTCAAGGAGGTGGCAGTGGCAGGTGAGGCTGGAGGTGGCTGGCGGGCAGGCTAGTCCTGGGGTGACAGACCAAGAAGAAGGAGTGAAGAGGCCCGGGCCCGGGTGGTGTGAGCACAGTGTGGTGGGAAGGCCAGCGCTGCCCGCTGCAGGGACCACAAGCCACTCACCCACTCGTCCTCGTCCACACCTTCGAAGGAGTCCTGGGGCAGTGGGTCCTCCCGGTTCCCGAGCTTGGCCACCATGGCATTTAGCAGCTGGGAGGGTGGACAGGAGAGCTGGGGAGGGAGCAGGACTCCCCGACTCCAAGGACAACAGTCCCCCCAGTTTTATTCACAACAACTTTGTAAAAAGAGCTGCTTTCACTAGAGCCTGGCCAAGCTGTTCAGTTTTCACTGGAAACGACACAGATGGGGGAGCTGGGGACAGAGATGGAGTTCGGTGCCATCTCTGCACACCACTGCAGACACCCACATGTACACCAGGGTTCTGGATGCACTTGAGTCTGGAACCTCCAGCCTCAGCTGAGTTGGTCCTGACCAGGGCAGGGCCTTTGCTAGCATCCCTGGCTTGCTGGGCCCAGGGGCAGCAGCTGCTCCACAGCGAGGCTTGGAGGGTCTCCTCGCCCAGCTGATGCCGAGAGGAGGTGCCCTGTGGCTCTTCCAGTCTGGAGGGGCTGGAAAACTGAAGGCCAACCCCCAAACCTAGCGTGGCAGCCCCAGGCCCACAGCCCCCAGGCCCACCGCCCCCAGGCCCACCTCCTCCTTCTTTTGCTGGTCTGACTTCTCTTCCAGGAACTGTGCTGAGGAGGGGGCGCGCCGGGCAGGGGCTTCGCGGGGAGCCTGGCTCACTGGGGAAGGACAAAGACAGGCATCAGAGAGTGCCCTGGGTGGGGCTCCTGGGTGCTGGCCCCTAAGGACCTCTGCTTGCAGGCCTGCTCAGGGTGTGGTGTGTGTGTGTGTGGGTGGGGGTGGGGTGATCATGCATGCATGCATCGGGGTTTCGGACTAGCATGGAAACACAGACTCCTCCCCACACTCTCGCCTCCCCCATCCCTCAGTCCACCTGGAGTCATGCCGGGGGGCTGCAGGCTGAGCAGCCGGGGCTGCCCGTTAGCGCCTCCCAGCCACGCTTTGGCACTGAGCGTGGGCTCCCAGCTCACGGCCGTGTCTGGGAACACGTCATCCTGGAAGAACTCTCTCTGCAGAGGAGAAAGGGGCTGTTCTAAGACACTGGCCAGGAGCCCGGGGCACGACGGCACATACTGAGAGGGGCACAGCACAGCCTGGGACCCTCCCCTGCCTGGCTTCCACGAGTCTAAGAATCTCAGCAGAATAAGGAAGCAGGTGTCCTTTAGGAGAGGTGAGTGGAGAAGTTTGGGGACAGGCCTAGACAGGACCCAAAACCCTGACCAGCACTGGGAAGTGGGCTGGGCACAGAGCCCTGGCCCCCAACTCACCCTGACTCGGGGCAGCCGGAAGGCCACAGGTTCCACGGAGGTCTGGCGCAGCCGCAGGCACCGGGCAAACTCCACCTCCCGCACGTCGCACTCCGTTTTGGGCAGGAGGATGAAGCCCTGAGGGAGCAAGGGAGTTGGGGGTGCTCTGCGGGCACGTGGCATGCTCCTGTGTGCTAGTGGCCCTCACTGGGGGTGGCCAGAGCCACAGCTGCGCCTGGACGGTGGGCTGCTGGCGAGGCACAACCGCCGGCTGCGTGGAGAGAAGAGCCCTGGTGTGCAGCGAGGACGCCCACCATGAGCAGACTCCGTGTGCGAGGGGTCGGGAAGAGAAGAGCGACCGCACACCGCGGCAGGCCGCATGCGCCAGGCAGGCCCATAGACGTAAGAACCGCCAAGCACAGAGGACAGTGCCGTCTGGGAAAGTGGTTAGGAAGTGGTAAACTGAATACTTACTACCTTGACTAACCTTTGTTCATAGGTTCATATCATTTAATATTACAAATTTAACTTTAAAAAACTTGGGGATCAACAGATGGTGCAATGGTTATGTTGCTGGACTCCCACCTAGCAGACCACAATTCGAGTCCCAGACCCTGTGGCTTCAAACTCACATTGCGGGGGGCCAGCAGGTGGCGTGGTGGTTAAGGGTGCTAGACTCCCACATGGCCGACCACGGGTCAAGTCCCGGACCTAGTGGCTTGCTTTCTCATTCTCTGCCTCTCCCCCGTCCTTGAGGGTCAAATGAAAATAAATAAACAAACAAATAAGTAAATAAATACATTTAAATAAAATAATTCTTTTTTTTTTTTGGAGAGGTTTTCGCTATAGGGCATGTGCACTCACCAGACAGAGAGAGACATAGAGACAGAAAGCAAGAAATCACTCCCCAGAGGGGATGGTCACGCCGCAATCCCTTCTCCTCCATTCTCCTCTCGGGATCTTGGGCATGCACGCACACACGCCCAGCTTGAGTTTTAAGCCACCGGGTCTGGGACGCGAACCAC